GGGGGGGGGTTCACATGATCTCAAAGCGTCTTTATTAAGCCAACAAAAACCTGCCAATGGTACCTTGCGTCTTCCAGCTGGAGTGGCGATGGCTCCGGTGATCAGGCTTCTCTAAAGGCGTCCCGACCGTCACATTTGCCACAAGCAGTGGATATGGGATACCCGTTGTTTTCCATAGAAAAGTGGTGGGAAAGAAGATTTCGCGTAAACATAATACTTATCCTGAAAGACAAAACAAAGACCAGTCAGTGATCAGAGGACAACAATTGAAGCATTACCGAGGTACAAGAGACGATTTGAGAGTGCAACTGAAGCCAAAACTTGGTTTTGGATGGAATTGAGATGGATTAGAACCCCTGCCAGGTTTTTATTGCCGTCCGTGAGCCTCGTTGGGGAGATTCACCCTCTGTCCTGGTGAATGTCATCACTGAAAATCCCAAATCTTGGGCTGTCACCAGAACAGGAATAGATGGGAGATCTTTCAATGGGGACACTAGTTCTGGTGACCACCATGGATTTCTGTCTTTGCAGGGATTCCACCTCACTTCCTGTTGTGGTTATCAGACAGGAAATGAAGGGAAATCTCCCCAATGGGACACAGATGGCATGAGAAGGGTTCTAACCCACACTATGCAAAACTAAAATATGGCTTTAGCTCTCCTTGAATATAGTGGGAGCAATATCTTTCCATTACAGCCAATTTGTAGAGTATCTACATTAGAAGACTGCCCCTCTACAGAGTTGATGTAAAAACGCACAGCAACATGCAACCTGCATAATGTGAATGGGTCCTTAGAGACCTGTGCAGTGACCAATGAGTTCTCCTCTAAATGCTAGTTACCTGGCTGCCATGTTCACCCAATAGCTTTATACTATGTCCGCATGCCAGGCAGTTGACAGCAGCCATGAATGTGCCGTTTCCTGAGTGAGCATAACCGTATCCCATAAAGAGCCCTGCAGTTAAAAGGCATGTAGACTAGAGGGCTATGCGTGATGCCCAGGGTTAGGATTACCCAGGAGCTGGAAGACAGCAGTAAGACTTCATGGGGTCTCCTGATTTCTCTACCAGAGTCATCATACAGGTTACATTCTAACTGTACAACCTCCTAGACTGACCAGCCGCCATATAGAATGAGGACCTACCTGGTCCTCAAAGTCCTTTATATGGAACTAGCTTTGTTTTTGGTAGAGCCAAGATTGAACAGAGAGACCAGCAAGACCTCCAATGAGCTCCCTCTTCCATTATATCTTCAAGTGGAACGCCATCAAAACTTCTGTGAAGGTCTAGAATGGGGTTGGGCAACGTCAGGCACGCCAGCTGGGGGAATCTACAAACCCCATCATGGGTCAGCCTCTGGGAGTCATGCCTTTGACGGCCAAACTTTCAATGACTCCTGGAACTTGTAGTTATACCACAGCTGGAGTGTGAGGTTGACCAACCCGCCGCTCAATATAAACCCTCACAGGAGGTAAACTTAGAGGGACACTATTTGGCTGAAGCACCACTTAATATTAAGCTTCTTACACACACCCATTCAAGACTGGTTCTCTGTAAAGCTATTTAAAGAGACCACATCCGACTGAACAGAAGTTGCATTATTTGGTTGTCTGGTTCCCTCCACAATTAGGGTTGCCACCTTTTCTTCAAGCGAAACCCGAACACTCTAGTAGCCCCTATCTTAATTTTGGTTGCCCGTCTGCCTAACATCTTGTGTCCGGGTTTCTGCTGCCATGAAACCCGGACACAGCATTCAAAACCCGAACTGTCCGGGTGAATCCTGGACAGGTGGCAACCCTATCCACAATACAGAGGGGGGTTGGGGATCCCTTTTGTATCTCTTGGAGCTTTTTTGTTTCCTGCCCAGTAACTGAGCAGTCACTATAATGACTCAGCATGACTCCCCTCCCCCATCCACTGACAAAACCCCGGTCTATAGGCAAATGGACGGCTCAAGGGAACAGGCGAGGATACAGAAAACACAAACTGCTTCATGACAGGTTACAGCAGCAGCTTGGTATAAAATTCCCCAATTTCCCAAAGCTCGACTCTTTGGAGAAAAGACGTCACCAGAACTCTACGGAGGAGACTGGACCAGAACTGCCTTACATGGACCTCTCTACAGTTCCTCCATTAAAGGACAGGCAGATATTTCCCAGGAAAGCAGAGCTGGGATCTGTCTAGGGTACATTTTATGGTGGCCATGAACACACTATGGCAGTTGGAAGACAAAGCCACCAGAGAAGCATCCACAAGGGAGAGATGGTATAGTAGAGGGCTGGACAGATCCCAGGAACCAGGTCAACGATGCTCCTGAGAATTTACAGCTGGCACCTAACTTTTTAGGTTCTCTAGTTGTCAATGAAACTGGCTCCTGAATTCCATATTCATTGTCCACCCTGGGTGTAGGAACACAACAGGTACCATCTTTCTCTTTAGGAAGATATAGCTAGATGTGACAATACCAACTTAACCCAATGTCCTTCACAACTGGCCCTCAGCTGTGTGACTATAAAGCCCACCGTTCTGTCACAACTGGCCCTCAGCTGTGCAATTATAAAGCCCACCGTTCCTTCACAACTGACCCTCAGCTGTGGGACTATAAAGCCCAGCATTCCTTCACAATTGGCCCTCAGCTGTGCAATTATAAAGCCCACCGTTCCTTCACAACTGGCCTTCAGCTGTGCGCCTATAAAGCCCACCGTTCCTTCACAACTGGCCCTCAGCTGCGGGACTATAAAGCCCACCGTTCCTTCACAACTGGCCCTTAGCTGTGCGATTATAAAGCCTTCACAACTGGCCCTCAGCTGCGGGACTATAAAGCCCACCGTTCCTTCACAACTGGCCCTTAGCTGTGCGATTATAAAGCCCACCGTTCCTTCACAACTGGCCCTCAGTTTACGCTTTAGGATTATTTAGGATTACGGGCTCCTATTGAGTAAGGAAAACCTACTCCATGTTCCCATCACATCTACACAAGCTTTCAAGCTCCGTTGTAGCAAAGCTGAGCCCCGGTATCTTGGAGAGTTACTCTTTACTAAGGGGGGGAAGGAAGTACCCAAGTCCATTACCCACAAGAGGGTCACAATTGCCCACACGAGGAGCCTCTTCACTACCCGCTTATTGCAGGATGGACCCCTACGGGTGACCTATGGAAGCCCTCACATGTAAGAGACATTTCGTATAGTACCGGGACTAAAGCCACAGGAGCTTCCTCTAGTCTGCAATAAAGACTTTCCACTGACATCCCCCTACAGAAGAATACTGGAAGATAGACAACTAAGAAAAAAAGAACTTTTTTTTCTACTGAAAATTCACAATTCATTTCTGGAATAAAAAGACATTTTTTTTGCATTATTGGGTGTTTGTTTGTTTGTTTTTCCGCACATGTTTCAGGTTTTTGTTTTCGCCCAATGAAAAGCAAGCGCTAGGAGCAGACGGCGGCCGCTAGGCGCAAAAAACTGGACATAATATGCGTGTTTTCCCGCGTTCCCATTGCGTCTATTATACCAAAAAATGCGCAATTCTGCCCCGAAAGGGAACGCATTTTTTTTTTGGGGCGTCAATGACAAGTGGCACAGCGCTCATGGGGGGGGGGG